GCTATAAAAAAATTCATGTAATAAAACTATGAAAACATGTAGCACATACCTATAATCCCAGCAGCTTGGGAGGCTGGGACAGGAAGATCACAAATTCAAAGCCAGCCTCAGCAAGTTAACCAGACCTTAAGCAAATTAGCAAGACCCTGTCTGAAAAATAAAATGGGCTGAGGATGTGACTCAGTGGGTACTGGGTTCCATCTCTTGTACTTGAAAAAGAAAAGTGTGAAAACATGGACAAGAAAGATTCACTCACTAATCTGGAACCTGGTTTCCCATGGAGGAAGAGGTGAGATTGAGATCAGCAAAGAGTTCCAAGGAGGTTTTGCCTCCATCTGTGATGTTTCATTTCTTTAAAACCAAATAAATATTTGGTCAAAATGTAGTAAAATGTTACGATTCGTTTAATCTGTCTGGTGGCTACGTGGATGTTAGTTGTACTCTTTTGGGAGCTTTAATGTCTGTCTGAACTGTTTCACTAGAAGAAGAAGATACTGTTAGGCTGCATGGATGATTTCAGTTCATACAAAAGGACATCCTGATGGAAAGTTAGCAAGCTCTGTCCTAATCTCAACTGGGCCAAAGTTTGCCCCCCTCTCTCTCTTTAAGTCATATATTTTTAATTTTTTTTTTTTGTAGTTGTAGATGGACAGAATGCCTTTATTTTATTTGTTTATTTTTATATGGTACTGAGGATTGAACCCAGTGCCTCAGCATGCTAGGTAGGTGCTTTGCCACTGAACTGCAGCCCCAGCCCCTTAAGTTGTACATTTTAAAATTCCTGACTTTTAGAAAAGTTTTGAACACTCGCACCTCACAGAGGATCCGCCTGTATGTTTGTTGATCAAGTATTCAAAAATTAATTTGCACACCTCAAAAGGCAAGTTACAGTTTTAGAAGGCCATTCAATTAATTGTGACAACCGTATTTTATTTTTCAGATAGGGGAGGAAAGAGAAAAGAAGGAAAATCTTCCTGAGGCACCATCGAGAGGGTTTTCTCCTAAAAGTGGATCTCTTCAGCACTTGTAATGGTCAATTTGAATTGTCAACTTGATCGGATTAAGAGATACCAAGGATTAAGAGGCTTATGGGTGTGTCAATGAGGGTGTGTCTAGGAATGTTTGGCACGTGGGATAGCCAATTGAAAGGGAGACCCTCCCTAAGTGTGGGCAGCACTGACCAATAGGATGATGGCTTGGATGGACTAAAAGTTGGAACAAGAAAGCAAGCACCTATGCAAGTTTGATTCTTCTTGAATGGTTCTTGATCGCTGCTGGGATCATCGGAGGACATTGGACTCTCTGCTTCTTGATCACCATGATGTGAGCTGCTTCCCTGTGCCACACTCTCCAACCATGATGTTTAGCTTCATTTAGAGCCTTGAGAAATGGAGCCAGCCTTATATGGACTTCTAAAACTGCGAGCCCGCAAATAAACTTTTCCTCCACTACACTTGTTCTGGTTAGATCCTTTAGTCACAGCAGTGAAAAAAACTGACTAAAACAGCACCCTTAGCTGCAAAGGAGGCTGGGGAATTGGGTCTCAGCCTTCTAAGTTGCTCTACAGAGATTCAGACAAGGAACAAGTGGGCAGGAGGCAGCTGCTGTGTAGCCAGCCATGGTTTCTGCCAGTCCTCCCCACAGTCTCAACTTGTCCAATTATTGGAACCCAGAAGCATTTAACTTGTTCCTTCATATTTGGTATATATTGGGAACAGGAAGTTAGGCCTCAGATTCAGGTTAAATATTTTTGTTAATAATATCGATTGGTGATGCTGTGACATTCACACTCTTGTATCAAGTAGCAACCAGGTTCTCCACTAAATTTCTGTTTTCAAGATGTGAGCAGAGGTGATGTACCATCTTTGAAAAGCCAACCTAAACACACCCTCCTTCCCAAGAGCAATCCCGCGAGTCTTCGAAGACCTTATGCGTAAGTCTCATATTTATGGCAGCTGCAGCCTCTGTGCATTGATTTTGGGTTGTCTTGGAATTATATGCAATAAGCAGTCTTGTTTCTTAATATGACCGATGGGTCATATGAGAAGTGAGAACTTGGTTTTAAAAAACACCTGAGAAGATCACAACACAACTCTTCAAATCAAATGCAGAAGTGTCGGGAAGTGATTCTTCCTCGATGTCATTCCCTCGAAGTTCTGAGGGCCTTGAGTGTGACACCAGGAACAAGGGGAAGTGAGCTGAACATTCTCCATGGTCTCACCCTGAGGGTCCAGGGTAACAGCCCGGGGGCCTTCTCATGGGTACAGTCGTGGGTTCCTGGTTTGCTGGCATGGAGGCCATGCCTCCCTGCAGCAGTGTTGAACACAGGCCACCGCAGCCCGGGTAGAGCAGGTGGCCTTGCTTCTGGTTCACTGGGACTGTCAGGAGGACCTGGAAGGAGATGTTTGTCCATAGCCATCTTGCCTTCAATGGGACCTCGTGCTCACCTCCACCTGCCTCTCCACCCGCTTAATGGCAGTGTCCCTGTCCCTCACTCTGGAGCCATCCCTGCCACGTCTGGTTGCCAACTTTGGACAGTCTTATAAGTAAAATCACCCCCATCCCCCGCTCCCCACCCCCAGTTTCTCCAAGTCTGACAAAGGCTGCCTGCCCCTCCCTACCTTCGGGCCCAATTCCCCAAATCGTAGCATCAACTGTGACTCACCCTGCCCAGCCACCCAGCCTCCCCGCTCCCGGGAGTCTTCTGTGGCAATGGCTTCACTAACTGGTCTTCCTTCAGCTGCCACCCTGGCCTGGCTGCCACGGCCCTCCTTCCTTCTCCAGCCCTGCTCTCGCCTCTGTCCCAGGAGGCTCCAGGCTCCCCCTGCGTGTGGCTCCTGGACACAGCTTTCCTCTTTCAATCTGTTATTCCACCTTATCTCCAGGTCCATCGGTTCCAGAGGCTTTGGACTTTACTCCTCTCTGATGACAGGCACACCACCTGCCAGGCATTTACAGCCATTATCTTTCCGCTTTACTACCGCGGAGCACAGGAATTATTGTCTCCTTAGCAGACTAGGAAAACCAGGCGTGGAGAATCAGAGGGATCCCACTGCCTGGAGACAGCGGAGCGGAGCCTCTCACCCTGTGCCTCTGCGCCCCTCAACAGTTCCCTCCTCTGTAAGGAGCTCATGATGATCCTTATCCCAACCCGTCCCTCCTCCCGTCCTCATTAAGTCCCCCAGCCCACAGCTCCTCACACTGCCGGCTGATGGTCAGCCCACACTGCTCTCCTCCCCTCTTAACTGCCGGCAGCCACCTCAGCCTTGCACAATTGAGTTCTTGATTACAGATTGCCTTGGACGGGGCTCTGGTTCTTCCACTTTTGTGTGCCTGTCTCTGAGCTAGGGGGCGGAGCTTCTGCTCGGGCTCAGGCCTTGCCCCACAGATTGGGGGGGGGGGGGGCGGACCCCACTTTTCCCCAAAATGGGGGGTCTGCTGTTCTGAAAGCCGATGGCCACCTTGTCACACTCCCAGTCTCCATCCCAGAGGTTTGCCTTGTATCTCTGCTGGCACGCGCGGGCACACGTGCACACACACACACACACACACACTCTTTCTCTGTTGCACACATGTCTCATCAAAAGCTCTCTTCCCAAACTGAGGTAATTATATCAACACAAGACAGAAGATGCCCTCCTAACTGAATCCTAGCCACTGCCCTTAATGTGGAAGTCCGGTTTAGACCAGGAGGACACCAGAGCTGGTGAGGCTCCCAGGACCAGAGAAGGCATTGACCTCTCCTCCTCCTCAGAGGCTGGCCTCCACTGGAAGTGGGTGGGGACTTGCTGTCTCCACTGTAGTTCTGCCCCTGCCACTGTGGTCTGGGGGAGTGGAGAGGTGGAGAGATGTAGTCTTTCCACATTAGTGCTTAGTGGTGAAATTTGGGGGCCTTTAAAGAAGACCCATCCTCCAGGGAGGGAGGGCACCCCTGTAGCTAACCTGGTCCCCACGCACCATCTCCCTTGCCAAAACATCTCTGCCCTGACCCAGGGGACCTTCCAAGCTGTTCATCCTGGGGATTAAATATTGCCATCTCCAGCTTCTCATTTCAAAGCGGGAAGAAGAGCATCCCAAAGACTCAGAATGATCTGGATTTCAGGTTGGTTTCTTCCTGCACACTTAGAGGTAGCCTGAAAGATCGGTGTGAGAGTACTGCCCTAGAGCCAAGGGGTCTAGGACTTCAGAGGTGGAAATGTGTGGTGGTCTCAGCCCTGAAGCCAAACTTCTCTTCCTTTACAGTTTTGCCTGTGGCGATCCTAACATGAGAATGAGAATAAACAAGTGAATAAATAAAGGGATGCTTATGTAAGAACAAATAAAAATAATTATAAAGCACATCCCATAAACCACACAGCCTGGAGGAGCCAGGGAGGGGCAAGAGGCAGGAGGAGCGTGGGAGGTGGGTGTCCCACACGGGCAGCCTCGCCTCTGGGGGGAGGGGATGCTGTCCTAGAGGGAGGTGGCTTGTGACTCCTACGCCACAGCAGCACATCAAAGAGGGAGGCGCACGCGGATCCACTGGCAGAGGTTTTGCAACTGGGTGTGTAAAGCCTCTCGCGGAGGGTTGAGTGGCATCCTCCTGTTTGGGCATGGCCCTGTGTAGGGAGCCGTGAACACTCCTAGGTGTTCCAGAGACAGGCAGAAGGCTGGGGAGCCGGTGCCAGAGATGGATCCAGCCAGGCAGTGAAGCCAGCCGCAGGGTCGCAGGACCAGGACCCTGCTCATGGATTTGGAGGACCTTCTGCACCTGATCCTGAGTCAGAGGCCCCTTTCCAACCTTTGAGACTGCCACCTGGCAGGGTTGAACAGGCCCGGGCGGTAGCTGTCTGAACCACCCGTGGGTGCCCGGGCCAACCCAGTAGAGACGGCCACATTCCAGGCTCTGGGCTGGCAGGGAAGCTGACAGCGAGTTCCCACAGGGATTGGCAGGCCAGGCTGAGGCAAGCAGGCTCTGAACGGTGGTCCCTCCTCCCTGTGGAAGGCCGGAGGCTGAGGCAATGGAAGAGCAGGTGTTCAAGGGGGACCCAGACACCCCTCATTCCATCTCCTTCTCGGGCAGTGGATTCCTCTCCTACTACCAGGCTGGGGTTGTGGATGCCCTTCGGGATCTGGCGCCTCGGATGCTGGACACAGCCCATCGCTTCGCAGGGACGTCGGCGGGTGCTGTGATAGCAGCCCTGGTCATCTGTGGGATCGAGATGGGTAAGGGCTTTGTTCTGGAGGGAGGCGTTCAAGCAGAGCCTGAGGAGGCTTTGGAGATGCTTTGGGGACAAAGCCAGGCCTGGGAGGCAGGAAAGGAGGAGGTGGGTCAGTGGGACAGTGGGCGGGGTCACAGCCTTTGACCCGCTGGGTGAGTGTGGACCCAGCATCTCTCCTTCTTCTTCAATGTCCTTACCTGTGAGCTACCCTGTGACTCAGGGCCCCGGGTGAGGGAAAGACAGTATTGCTCTCAAATATCCTGTGTCAGAAGTCATGCCAAGGGCTGGGATAGAACTCAGTTGGTAGAGTGCTTGTCTTGCATGCACAAGGCCTGGGGTTCAATCCCCAACACCACAAGGGAAAAAAGGGGGGTGGTTACAAGGAGTTATGCCAGGACACAGTCAGGTAGGGTTTTGTGGTCTCTTTTCAAATGCAAATACCTTTGGGAGGGGTGACAGGTCAGACCTATCTTTCCCCTTTTCCAGGTGGCTGGAAAGATGTGACTTGAGGGTGGGGGCCAGGGCAGGAGGGGACCAGAGGGGAGAGACTGGAAATCAGGGGTCAGGGCAGAAAATGGAAGCTCTCACTTCACCCTCTGCCCTGCTGATCCATGGTCCTTAGAAGGAAGGGGCCACCCTGCTGACCCAGAGGGAGGACCACAGAGCCACGCCTGGAGCAGACGCCTCCCAAGGGCCCCCTGGCCACTGGACTGCAGCAGGGACATTTGCTCACCTTCCAGGTCCTCACGGAGCAGAAATTCTAGGAAAAAAAAAGAAAGAAATATAATAAGCATTCAAACAAGAAAGCTTCTAATGTAATGTCAGGAAGTGATAGAATCTAGAATGAATTACAACAGGACAGGGACAGAGGATGAAGTGGGGGACCATATTTCGTTTTACATCATTATTATCATTTGTTGTAATGGTAGTGCTGGGAATTGAACCCAGGGTCTCTTACCACTGAGCTGCATCCCCAGACCTTTTTATTTTTTACTTTGATAAATTATGAATTGCTGGCCTTGAACTTGTGATCCTCCTGCCTCAGTCTCCAGAAGGGCTGGGATTACAGGCTGCCACTGCACTTAGCCGGGGTCTATAAGTGGTTGGCGGGAGGTGACATCCAAGCAGTGACCTGCCGTAAAGAGAGAAACAGCCCAGAGGCTAGTGTTGGGGGATGGAGGAAGACAGTGGGAGGGGGGATTGAGGGGCATCTGGGCCAGCTCAGGTGGCCTCTGCAGCCAGCTCTGACTTTATCTGGCTCCTGTGAGCACTGGCATGCTGGGATGCAGACAGCGTGGGCAGGTGGCAGAGAGCATGTGCATGTGCTCTACAGATGGGGTCCAGCCCTGCTGTTCCGGGACCTGGGACCTGGAAGAGAGTACTAGAGCTGTCCGTGCCTCCGTGTTTTCATTGTAGAAGGCAGATCTGAATATGGCTCCTTCCCAGGGCTGCTTAAGGATTCAGTGGGCTCACATGAGTGAACGGCCCATAAAAGCGCCTGGTATGTGGGCAGGCGCTTGGGACCTGTCCACTCTCTGAGCTGGGCAAGGTAGAAACTAAGTTGAGGGATGAGTGTGGCTGGCCAGGAGGACGGCTAGAGTGATTGGATTTGAAGGGACAGCTGTGAGACCTGCTGAAGGCCCAGCTGCACCGGGTGAGGAGGAAGGGGTAGCAGCCTTACCCCAGAGCAAGCAGGGCGCCTCCCTGCTAGGACCTCACTCTCTGCTGGCTACAAGTCTTTGCTTTTAACAGAAGCCATGCCCATTGACTGGGGACCTCGTGTGTGCAAGATGATATTTTATTTTTCACCTTTCACAAGGAATAAGTGAAAGTCAAACAACAGGACAGTATATAGAACGGAGAGAAAGCCTCTGTTCAATCTGCTGCCCCGAATCCCACTCCCCCTCCTGTGGCCTGTGCTGTCAGCATGGATTGTTCCAGATCTTTTGTGTGTGTGTATGTGTGTGTATGTGTATGTGTGTGTGGTGCTGAGGGTTGAACCCAGGGCCTTGTGCATGCGAGGCAGGCACACTACCAACTGAGCTGTCTCCCAGCCCCCAGATCATTTTTAAGCACAGAGTTCTCTGTGAAGCAGTTCGTGCCTCTGTCACCCAATGGACCAGCCTGTGACAACAGTGGGCCACAGGGACCCTTTTCACTGAAACCTGGGAACAGGCCTCCTCTCGGTGGGATCAAGGTCCAGAATGTGCGCTGCTCCTAATGATGCAAAGTTCAGGGAAGGGTGAGGTGCGGTGGGCCTCGCTCCCCCCACTCAGGGCCCGTGAGATTCATCCACGTCCCTCTAGCCTGGTTCAGGCACTTGAACTGCCGGGTAATTTACTAGTAACTGGCCCTTCCTTTGTATCAGGCGCTGTTCTCTGTCTCTGGCATATTAACTCATTCTGTCCTCACAACAACCTCTGCAGTGCAAACGGTTATTATCCCATTTTATAGAGGAGGAAACTGAATCATGAAATGCTCACATCACTTGCCTGAGATCGTACGAGCAGGACTTGGAAAAGCTGGAATTTGAACCCAGTCTGGCCAGAGTCGACACTCTCCCCTTTAAGTCATGCTGGTATGTCAGGGCGGGCATGCTGGCTGTGTAGACAGCAGGTTCTGGATCAGCTCCATCTAGCTGAATGACTCTCCAAAATAATTGTACCAATTTAACCCCAAGAAGCCTGTAGGAGCTCTAATTGTCGCCCCCAGAGTCATTTTTCCTTGGTAGTGTCAGACTGGAAAGTTCTGTGTCAATCTAACACACCTGGAATGATCTCAGGGATTTGGCTTCCGGATTGCTCGTGAGGGTAAGCCTCTACCTGTTCACCGACCCTCCTCCTCTGTGACTTGCCAGCTCATGACCTTGCCCTGTTTGGGTTTTGCTCCTGAGTTACCCTTTTCTTTACCTTCTAGGTGTTCCTTATGAATTCTTACACTGGTTATCAGCTGTAGCCTTGCACCTAGATTCCCTACTATGAGGCTTGCCATTTTCTTTGTGCTATATTTTGTCACTCAGGAAATTTTCACAAAGTCAAATGGACACAGCTTTTCCTCTTACAGTTTGTATTTTTTAACCTTCATTACATGGTTGCTTCTACGTTGTCTTTCAAAAATTTTAAGTCTTTCCTATTTAGGTTCATCCATCTGGAGTTTATTTTGTATGTAGGATGAGGGAAAGACCCAATTCCTTACTTTGCTGCTCGCTTAGAACACTGCCTTAGGTGTGTTCAAGTGCCTGCATTCCTATGAGACTGTCCTTGGAGTCTCTCAAAGTTTCTTTGTCTAAGTGGCCTAATTTCTGGACCAAATGACACTGTGTTAAACATCATAGCTGTATAATAAGGACACGTCTCATATGGCAAGCCCTTCCTATTCCTTCTTCTTTATTTTGCAAATATTGCCTTCATTCTTTTTTTTTTTTCTTTTTGGCACCAGGGATTGAACCCAGGGTTGCTTTAACCACTGAGCCACATCCCCAGTCTTATTTTTATTTTGAGACAGGGTCTCACTAAGTTGCGAGGCTGGCTTTGAACTTGTGATCCTCCCGCCTCAGCCTCCAGAGTGCTGGGATCTCAGGCGTGCGCCACCGTGCCCAGCTGCCTCTATTATTCTTGTCCTACCCTGAGAAACACTCTGCTGGGATCTTGATTGAAAGTGCTTCTTCCTATTTATAAATAGAATCTGTCTCTCTATTCTGATCTTTTTGTCCTTCAGTAAAGATTTTGTGTCTTTTATTGGATTTGTTTCTGAGGGTCTTATAGTTTTTGTTGCCACGAGTTCTTTTTTTCTGAGGCATTTTCAGAGCTAATGGACTATCACTGATAAAAGGAAGGTTGACGGGTTTTGCATACTGATCTTGTTTTGAGGGACCTTGTTGAACACTCCCGAGAGTTCTGAAAGTTTGTCAGTAGATCATCTGGTATTTTATGCATAAGTAGTAATGCTATATGCCTGTAACCAGAGTTAGTCTCTCTCTCTCTCTCTCTTTCTTTTAAATAACTTTTCTTTCTTTCTGTGGTGCTGAGGATAGAACTCAGTGCCTCATACATGCTAGGCAAGTGCTCTGCCACTGAGCCACAACCCTAGCCCCTTAGTGTCTCTCTCTCTCTCTCTCTGGTACTGGGGATTTAGTCCAGGGACACTCGACCTCTGAGCCACATCCCCAGCCCTACTTGTATGTTATTATAGACAGGGTCTCATTGAGTTGATTAGCGCCTTGCTTTTGCTGAGGCTGGCTTTGAACTCACGATCCTCCTGTCTCAGCCTTCAGAGTCGCTGGGATTACAGGCCTACACCACCACATCTGGCTCTTAGTCTCTTTTTTTTTTTTAAACAAAATTCTTAAACTCCTGGTTCCAGGGACTATCCCCTCAAGGACACATCCCTGTCCTTTGTTCCCAGACTGAGCTCTTCTGTCCTGAGGCTGTTTGTCCCTGTGAAAGCTGAGTCAGTGAAGGGTCCAACTCCTGACTGGCCGGTTCTGTGACAGGGCTGATTTGGAGGCTTGAAACCCTTGGTAAAGTGCTTAACACAGTGCCTGGTTTTCTTTTCTTTATTTTTTCTTTATACCTTTATTTTATTTATTTATTTTTATGTGGTGCTGAGGATCAAACCCAGTGCCTTGCATGTGCTAGGGGAGAGCTCTACCGCTGAGCCACAACCCCAGCCCTCTTTCTTTTTTACATTAGAGCAGTGTAGTCGTACATAATAGTTGAGTTCATCCTGACAAAACCATACATGCTTGGAATTCGATTTCAGTTCATGCCTGGTTTTCACCAGAGATGCAGCAAATGTCCCATTCCTTCATTCATTAACCTGATGACCACCTGATTAACATGGTGGTCTCCATGACAACTAGTGGGCTTCCAAAATTTCCAATCTGAACTAGAATTAAAAAAAATATCTCCAACTTGTATTTTTCCAAAATACAACTTGTATCATTTTGAAAAATAACTTTTTTCTTACTGAAGAATGGATATTCGGTAGACTTGAAATCCCATT